CACAAGTGATTAAATAGCTTAGCCCTGTATTGATATTATAATATCTTTGTGTGAGTCGATTTCCTAATCGAGTCTCTTCCTTGGCTTTCACACACAAAAACATGGCGTCCTATACTTTTCGGCCACCCTGTACATGCACATCAGTGACCCATGCGGTGGTTATGCTGTTGGTCAGCCGTTTTCTAAGAAAGATAAAACTTGAATAAACAACAGTGCCAAAACTCAGACAGGAATCATGAGACGACCCATTACTTGACATCGTTGTGCCAAGAAAAATATATATTTTGCTCTCCATGTAGGATTTTATTTACTTCAGTCACTTTTTTATTTACACGTTCATGGGAATAAGAAGAAAATGAGAAATTAATTGGACTGATTATTTCGTAACCCTTGGAAAACCTCTGCTAAATTGTAGCGCATATGCTCATATAATTATTACGCCGTTTGCAGATATATTATGAATAAATACAAATAATTCGGGAAGAAGTTGCGCATGGGGGCATGGGTGTGACACGCAGCCGCGTCACATTGTCACAAGTGGTCTGCGAGGTGGGGCGCAATCCGCGTCTGTCGTCAATACGTCAACCTAGTTCAATCAAACACATTCCATCTCATCCTCCAAACTTGTCTCGAGCAGCCTGCCATGGGGGACGGCCTGTAGGGATGAGAAGTATGTGCGACTGCTGACACAGTAAATTTTACGATTCACGCTATTATTTCGTTCTTCACCTCTGTCACGCAACTGTCCCCATCTACGATTATTTTATTCATTCCGATTCTTTTCGAAAGTCGACCTTGACATGCCACCCACTGGAAAACCTAATCGGATTTGATAAGTTATCAGCTTTTGTTTGTTTGTCGGAATTCTCAGAGTCACTCGGGACTTTTGTCTTGTGACAGCCGCTCATAGGATTGCAGACTTATATGAGAAGAAAGTCACATAATCTGATTAGTGAAGGAGAAAAAATGGACGAAAAAACTGAAAAATGGAATGCAGGAGGAAAATTTTGGTCGAAGTACGGTTGAGCGGAACCAGATTCACCACAAATTGTGAAACACGTGGACTGTGAGAGGATGTTTTGTGGAATTTGGTAGCTTGAGAAACGCCCTGCGAACCCTCCTTATCAGGTTATCGCTATGACTTCTTGTTGGGAATATAAGCACTAGCACAGCACCAAACAGATAACCAGGATAGTTCGAAGCAATGGTTAGTTACTTTTTATTTTCAAAAATGGTGACCCTATAGGCCGAAAATGAACCCAGTTTTCAGAAACTCCTCGTGCTTTTATTCTGCATCTACCTGCTGCAGGTAATCAACGCATCCGAGGGAGATGTGCTCGGTTGGTTTGTTCTCAACACTTATCTCTCAGCAGCCTCTCTCTTAATTCTCTATCACTTCTGAAGTACTGTATCCGTTTACAGATGCACTGCAAGCTCAACGAATCCCACCTGAGGCGCAGGCGTTGAGCGGTGTGCCGCTCGTTGAATATCTCAGGAAGAATCAAAAACTGTTCGAGGTACTGCACAGTCCACCCAAATTTCAGACCCTGAACTCTGGAACACTTCATGCTTTTGCAGGTTGAACCAAACCCTGCAACCCACTACTACAAGAAGATGCTGATGGATTTGGAATTCATCGATCCGATCCGACACAACTACGCGGCGCGAAGAGAGAGCGGGCTGTACATTCAGAAAGGTTTGATGAATTTCTCTTTTCGAACATCATTTCTTGTTTGAGTATCAGATCCTTGGTGGGACGTGAAGAAAGCAGACTTTCTTCTTCCACCCTTATCCTAATCGAAGTCCTTTCATTGAAAAAACCATTCATAAATATGCAATTCGGATTGCATCACCAACTTAAACGGGTGGCGATCAAATTAGTGTGTCATTTCGCTCGAGAATGAAACAAGAGGTGCGAACAGGACCGTGAGCGTGGAATAGTGGAAAACGGTGATGCGAGAATGAAAGCGACAACATGATACCTGGACTTCATTCGCTAACGTTTCGGCTTGGTCGCCTTCGTCAGATCCGGAAAGTCAAGGATCAGTGCTAAACACGAGCAGACAGTCGTTTTCATTACTGAGCGAAACGTCTAAGGGGGCATAGTAAAACACAAACACAAGTCGACTACACTAGTTTTTTTTACGATGCCTCCTAGATGATTATGGTCTATGGGGACTGTTTCGAAGTTAGAAATGATGTCTGCGGTAGGTCGCACTGATCCTTGACTTTCCAGGCTCTGACGAAGGCGACCAAGCCGAAACGTTAGCCAAATAAAGTCTTGTATCATCTTGGCTTGCGGCTTCAGAAGCAATCTGATACGAATACCACACACCCAAGATTTATCGAACGTCGAACCTCTGTGCTAAAGCGAAAAGATTTCTACGAAGCGGTGGAACTGAAAGAAAACCTCCTCCCTTGTGAGGTCGGCGGTGGCACGATGGGGAGAGAGAACGGTGCGAGGAGGGGTGAAAGCGATGGAGCACGTTATACCAGAGGGAACAGATACCCCTCATGTTGCAAATGACAAGAATTGCGGGAGGGGGGGGGCGCAACTCAAGGATAGGCGGCAGCACCGTCATGACGCAATTTTGAATCGCAACATTGCCACGACTCCTGTGCTCAAATACTGCTACTTAACTACGGAGAGGAATTTTCAGTTTCGATGGTCGAATTCAATGGGCCCATTGCCCGTCACTCACTTACATCCGTGATCAATCACTTTGTGGTGAGTAGATTTTGGATGAATGTTACGGCTTGTATTTGAGGGGCGTTCTGTGGTTACTCTACTGGGATAAATGCAGAGCTCACAACAGGAAAGACCTCACCCACAAATGCAAACCTTTTTCAGGGTGTAAAATCCTGGCATTCTAGATTTACGACTACTCCTAGTGTTTTTAAAGCTAAAAGCGCAGGGCTATGCGGCTGAGCATGGCGATTTTTTGAATACGGTAGGCGCGAAATGTATGTGCGTGGGGACTGGTGCTTACTGCTGTGACTTAAAGGCAACGATTACGATAAAGAGGAGCGCATCGGGGAAGCATATGCACCACACGAATCAGTTACTTGGCTGCCAGGGAAGCGAGGTGTGGCGCTTTCACGACGAAAGGTGCGCTGGTTGCTGAGCAGGACTTCGAAAGCACTCCGCCCCAAAAGCGATCCGCCCACTAGTTTAGTTGGTGATTTGGACGAGCAGCGTTG